TGTCGTCGTCACCGCCCTGGTCGCTGCCCCTTCGCCCGATCTGCGCGGCCGGACAGTAGTTGACTCTCCCTGTCCACGCTGTCGGTACAACGTGGACAGGCTCGTGTCTGGGACGGGGCGTGCGGCAGCGGAGTCGTGTGTGGGAGAGAGAGGGGGGCCCGAGTGGTGGCGTGAGGTCGGCAACAATAAAAGGGCAGAGCGGTGCCTCATGTGACCACCTCGTCTCCAGCTGACTGTGTGTGCGACGCACGCCACCTGCATACACAGACGATTAAGCAGTGAAATATATCCGTATAAACACATTGATCGTGTCACTTAATTATTTATTTCCCCTGTAAAAAAATGTATGTACACAGTACTTGAAAAATTCAATACTTTTCTTTGAACCTCATGGCAGGACCCCGGGGTCCCATACGCCCCCAGCTCTCGCATAAACTGCGTTGTGACGTCATTTCATGTCTGTTGAAGGCCAACAATACGGCAACCTGTTCCTCTCGGTGAGCGCGACACAATGCGCTAATTAAAGTTTCAAAGTTTTGTTTCTTCTGCGCATTCGTCCTCGCTGCTGCACTTGGACGACATTACAACAGAATGATCTGCGCCAGGTGGGTCGCGGCGTTTATGTGCGGGGTGGGACAGAGTCGCAATATTCTTTTTATTAATTATGATTTCTACTTCCGTTTATTCGGGACCCCGGGGTCCTGCATAAGGTTATGTGGCCGCATTAAACAAGTCGCTGCATTAAAATTGCACTTGTGAGCAGCACATCACGCTGGTCCCACAATGTGGTGTGGCAGAGACCCCATGCTCGCGGAGACGGTAGGGCAGGGACAAGGGGCAGGGTATAGTGCTTGCCCCCCCAGATCGTAGTCTTCATGGGCACCAATGACGACCTGGCATGGACCACCCTATCGGTTGCTCACCCCCACGGAACTTCAAGATAGTTGCCACGTGCTCGTCGAGAACGGTGAAATCTCGTCTCACTGAGACGCCGCGTGGCGATTCAGCCACACCGGTGCGGGTCGACCGGGCGTGGTAACAAAAGTCTAACCGTGCCGCCACTCCTCGCCAACTCCCGGCCGCCACTTGGACCACACTCAGCGCATTTAACAACCTCCAAGTGGCACTTTCTAAAAAAACACTGGTGGCTGTGAATAACACTGCTGCAGCCAATCACAGTTGCGATCCCTCCTACGTGAATATTCGGAGGTGTTCAGTAAGGGTAAGTTTGATATTGGGCGCACTTCCCTTTTGCAACACCATATTAACACGGGAACGGCTGCCCCCATTCGACAGAATCCATATGTATGGATCCCTGCAGTCACAAAAACTTCAAATCTAGATAGAATCCGAATAGGTTAAGCCCGAGAGAAAAGGGAAGCATGCAACTGGCGGTGGAGGAAATGCTGGCGGCAGATATTATTTCCCCCTCGACCAGCCCTTGGGGCGCTCCCGTGGTGTTGGTAAAAAAAGGTTGATGGCACGCTGCGGTTCTGCGTAGACTAAAGTGTTAGTCGCAGATGCGTACCCACTCCCCCGTATGGACGACTCGTTGGATGTGCTATCGGGGGCCCGATTTTTTTTCCACCTTAGACCTTTTGTCGGGATTTTGGCAACTTCCCCTGGATGAGTCATCCAAACCAAAAACGGCATTTAGAACGCCTCAATGATTGTACCATTTCAACTGCCTTCCCACGGGCTTACACTCAGCCCCGGCCACCTTCCAGAGGTTGATAGAACTAGTCCTAGCGGGGTGCAATGGGACTCACGTCTCATTTACCTTGACGATATTATTGTGTTTGGCCGCACTTTCGAGGAACATTTGCAACGGTTGCATTCCGTGTTGTTGATACGGTCAGCATACCTTAAGTTGAAACCTGCGAAATGCCACCTGTTGCAAACCTCTGTGCGATATCTGGGTCACATCGTGAGCAATTCCGGAATAGCGACAGATCCCGACAAGACGGCGTGTGTGCGCGATTGGCCGACTCCTCAGTCGGTGGGGGAGGTGCACAGTTTTGTCGGTTTCGCGCCCTATTACCGAAGTTTCATTCCGCAGTTCGCGGTGATCGCCACGCCTTTACATGCTTTAACGGCTAAAGGCCAGAAGTTTAGGTGGGGAGAGGAGGAGGTCGCTTTTGTTACACTGCGCAAAAGCCATGCCGACGCGCCTCCCCTGGAGTAGCCGGACTTTCCCCTACCGTTTACCTTAGATACAGATACCAGTGACACGGGTCTTGGGGCTGTCCTGTCCCAAGTTAAGAACGGCGTTGCAAGGGTGGTAGCGTACAGGAGCCGCGTCCTGTCATCCGCAGAACGACGTTACTGCGTGACCAGGAGGGAACTCTTGGCCATGGTGCACTTTGTGCAACAGTACAGGCCTTACCTGTACGGTAGGGAATTCGTGGTCTGCACGGACCACGCGGTCCTTTAATACTCCTTGCGTGTGGATCAATCTTCGGGAAAACTGTCACGTTGGTGGGAGATCTTACAGGAATTTTAATTTTGGGTGATTAACGAAAAGGGTTGCGGCATAGTAATGCGGACGCATTAGCCCGAATGCCGACACGGGAGGGCTGTGCTTGTTCAACGGGCACAGGACGATGTAAGCCACGGGGTGCGAAGCCATCCGGGGTAGTGGCGTCAGTGGAGAGCGCAGCACCCATTGGTAACGTTGCGCCGGTAGACGGAACGCTGGACCTCACGCCTGCCGAATGGGGTCGGTTGCAAATGGATCACGCGTCCTTGTTGCGACTCCGGGGGCGTGCGGAGCGGGAATGAACGAACCCTAGCTTGGCGAAGTCCTCAACGAGTGTGCTGAGGAACGGGTTGCTTATGAGATGGGATGAGGGGTTTCAACGCTACGGCCTGGTGGTTCTGTAATAAAGGACTCTTTCACTGGGTCTGTCTCCGTTGTCCTTTATTGTGGTTCGTACAACTTTGCCCGCATGGCGTCTCGCTCAGAGTCTCCTCCGTCTCCCGCTCGGCAGCCCCACTGCTGCCGTTGCTCTTGCAGACTTGCTGCTGGCTCACTATGCAGCCCCGCTGCTGGCTCTTCCCTCAGCCTCTCTATCCCCGACCTGCAGCCCCACGGCTGCTCTCTATGCAGCCCCGCTGCTGGCTCTCCGCCTCCTCTGTGCCCGGACACTGCTGGCCAACGGTGCCGAGTCCCGACCTGTGGCGATCACGCCACTTTCCACCTCTTGCCCTGCGTGGCCTCCTCCTGTCTTTATTCCCACACTCTCCCCCAGCCCTTCCGGTTCCTGCCCTTAAAAGCTCTCCTCTCCCCCCACGTAACCCAACTCCTCCCCCCTGTTACGTCATATCCGCGAGGCCGTTTACGCTCGCATTACAGTTCTTACAGTTTTACGGGGTGCGTTGACTCGAGAGGTACACGAAACCAAATTATTACATCTCGGCGTTCGGAAAACGTTACTGACGTTGCAAAGGGGGGGTGTTGTAATGACAGTGCGGAGCGATAGCGGACGGTGGGGCTCCTCGGGACCATGGTTACTAATGGAAAGATTACCGGGACCATGGTTGCTAATGAGTTAATGAGCATTCATGCGACAGGAGCCAATGGTAGGGAAGGACGAGTTAATAAGCATTCCTTAGATGGGAACCAATTTGATTTAGGCATTGGGTGTGGTCGGGCCCGGCGAGGATAAGTAGCAGTGTGAGTGAAGGTTCAGGGCACTGCATGGTGTGGGGGAATGGCGTCGTCGTGATCTGAGTCCGGGCCGTCTTCATCGTCCGCGAGTTGTCTTACAAGAAGAAGTTATGTCATCCCAGAATCGTGTCGTGTGAAACACCCGTGTATATATAGTCACTCGTAGTTGCACATTGAGTTATTGGTTGATATTTATTTGATAATAAACAAACAGAAGAGACGACGTCGTCTCTGCGAGCTATATTACATATGTCAGTCGATATGTGTGTACGTCGATGTGTATGTGTGTGTGATGAGACCATATGTGTGTGAGTCGATGTGTGTGTGTACGTTTATGTGTGTGTGAGTGTGTGTGGGGAGCGGTAGTGTAGCGGTTAGCGCGCTGCGCTGTGAACCCGGCAACCCGGGTTCGATTCCCGCTCACGGCAAAAACCGGTGACGGTTATCAGAACCGGTCCTGGGCCTCCCCTAGGTCGACTCAGCCTAAAATGAGTACCTGGTGCGGTGTGTAAACATCGCCACTAGGGAGACAAAGGCGGCCGGGCGTGGTGTTAGCCACCCACCCCTCGTGTGCCGTGCTCGCTGACAGCACTTGCCCCTACAGTCTGTTAAGGCTACACGGGGGATATTTGTGTGGGGAGCGGTAGTGTAGCAGTTAGCGCGCTGCGCTATGAACCTGGCGACCCGCGTTTGATTCCCGCTCACGGCCAACACCAGTGACGATTATCTGAACCTTTCCTGGGCCTCCCCTAAGTCGACTCAGCCTGAAATGAGTACTTGGTGCGGTGCATAAACATCGCCACTGGGGAGACAAAGCCGGTCGGGCGTGGTGCTGGCCACCCACCCCCTTGTGTGCCGTTCCGGCCTTTATAGGTGCTCGCTAACAGCACTTGCCCCTACAGTCTGTTGCTATACGGGGGATCTTTGTCTTTCTGTGTGTATCTAAAGTCGATGTCTGTGTGTGTAAGTCCATATGTGTATGTGTGTGTAGGGCAGTGTGTGTGTGTGTTAGTCCACGTGTGTGTGTCTTAGTCGATATGTGTGTGTATAAGTCTGTATGTATTTGTGTGTGTGTGAGTCCGTGTGTGTGTGTGTGTAAGTCCATATGTGTGTGTAAGTCCATATGTGTGTGTAGGTCCATGCGTGTGTGTGTAGGTCCATGCGTGTGTGTGAGTCGATGTGTATTTGTAAGTCGATATGTGTGTGTGTTAGTCAATGTGAGAGGCGCAGAGGGTGTTGGAGGCCTTGGGGGGCAGTGAGGCTTCTTGAACGCCGGGCTCCAGTGAGCAGCCAGAGATGTCCTCTTCCTCAACCGGAGGAAGCTGTGGACAAACCGACCCATTAGACACTACACACAACTAAGTACATATACCAGCTCAACTGTGATTACACACAACAATCAGCACCCCCTACTGGCAGACAAATGCCGATTTCACGCCAGGTGCTGAGTCACCTTGTGCCCACAGGGACATCTGTCATTGAGGGTGCCCTTTCAAACGTGTTGAGATGAGATGTGATGTAAAGCACTCTGAGATGCCCCGGTGAACAGAAAGGTGCTAAATCATTCTTATCGTTATCATTGTTTACAGCAATAATGGAATTGTCTATAGATAGATAATCTGTATTTGTAAATGAGGACCATGACGGCTTAACGAGATGGTTAGACCAGCTCATCATTATCATCATACACTGAATCGTGTGTGTATGAATATATTATTTACGTTAAACGCAAATTATGTACTTGTGTGTGTGCGACGCACGAGTGCTGTGCGCTCACCTCCACCTCGCTCTGAGTGTGCGCTCTGCCTGTTGTCGCGGTAGGGCGCCAACTTGGCGTGCAGCTCCACCACCACACGTTCGTACCACTGAATCTCTGCCTGCAGAGATTCCAGCTGCCAATTCCTGTCAATGAGCTGTGGGCCACGGGAAAACGGCGGCAAAGAAACACAGAAAAGCATTTTAACGATTGCGTGCGGTTATTGTATAACATACAGATGCAACAACAGACACATAGAATCGCAATCTTTATTTATAATTGAGCAATGTAATGAGCTATTAAGCTCTTTTACACAGATGTCCATACACCACCTATGACCAAATGACCAGAATGCACCCAATCATCTCAGATCTTGGAAGAAAAGCATGGCTGAACTTCCATAGTGCTTGGATGGACGACCACCATCCATACAACCCACATATATGAATTAACCCAAAAGCTGCATTAAAATATCAGATTAAGATCGCTTTCCAACCAAACACGGGGAGTGAGATGCACGTAGCAGAGGGGAGCAGATGGTCTAGTAGTAGTAGGTACTTCTATTAGAGGTGGGATGGTGGATCGTAACGTGGTACAGTCCCTAAATAGAGGATGCTCCGTAACCCAGTACGCATCCATACTGTACAACCATTAGTATGAAAAAGAAGTGGATACAGGCAGTCATCAACTTATGAACACCTGACTTCGGAATACCCGACCGACGAACCTGTTTCCATGAAATTTTCGGTTACCATTGACTTAAAACGCAAACTCGCACTTGCAAACTGAACTGTGGAACTATTTTGTTCAGTGCAGCGATCCTCCACGAGATGCCATGAGTCAGCCTCGTGCTGGAAGTGAATGTAGGTGTGCACACGCACATGTGTGTGTATGTGAATGTGAGTGTGTGGGGAGCGGCACTGTAACAGTTTGCGCGCTGCACTACAAACCCAGTTCAATTCTCACTCATGGCCAACACCAGTGACAATTTTCTGAATCGTTCCTGGGCCTCCCCTAGGTCGATTCAGCCTGAAATGAGTACCTGGTGCAGTGCATAAACATCGCCACTGGGGAGACAAAGCCGGCCGGGCGTGGTGCTGGCCACCCACCCCCTCGTGTGCTATTCCGGCCTTTATAGGTGCTCGCTAACAGCACTTGCCCCTACAGTCTGTTGCTATACGGGGGATCTTTGTCTTTGTGTGTAACTCCATGTGTGTGTATTTTAAGTCGATGTCTGTGTGTGTGAGTCCATATGTGTATGTGTGTGTGTAGGGCAGTGTGTGTGAGTCGATGTGTGTGTGTAAGTCGATGTGTGTGCATGGGTCCATGTGTGTGTGTAAGTCCACGTGTGTGTGTGTCTTAGTCGATATGTGTGTATAAGTCCGAATGTAATTGTGTGTGTAAGTCCATGTGTGTGTGTGTGTGAGTCGATGTGTGTGTGTGTGTGTCAGTCGATATGTGCGTGTGTTAGTCAATGTGAGAGGCGCAGAGGGTGTTGGAGGCCTTGGGGGGCAGGTCTTAGGAGGCTTCTTGAACGCTGGGCTCCAGTGAGCAGCCAGAGATGTCCTCTTCCTCAACCGTAGGAAGCTGTGGACAAACCGACCCATTAGACACTACACACAACTAAGTACATATACCAGCTCAACTGTGAATACACACAACAATCAGCACCTCCTACTGGCAGACAAATGTCGATTTCACGCCAGGTGCTGAGTCACCTTGTGCCCACAGGGACATCTGTCATTGAGGGTGCCCTTTCAAACGTGTTGAGATGAGATGTGATGTAAAGCACTCTGAGATGCCCCGGTGAACATAAAGGTGCTAAATCATTCTTATCGTTATCATTGTTTACAGCAATAATGGAATTGTCTATAGATAGATAATCTGTATTTGTAAATGAGGACCATGACGGCTTAACGAGATGGTTAGACCAGCTCATCATTATCATCATACACTGAATCGTGTGTGTATGAATATATTATTTACGTTAAACGCAAATTATGTACTTGTGTGTGTGCGACGCACGAGTGCTGTGCGCTCACCTCCACCTCGCTCTGCAGATGCTGCTGCTCTGAGTGTGCGCTCTGCCTGTTGTCGCGGTAGGGCGCCAACTCGGCGTGCAGCTCCACCACCACACGTTCGTACCACTGAATCTCTGCCTGCAGAGATTCCAGCTGCCAATTCCTGTCAATGAGCTGTGTGGGCCACGGGAAAACGGTGGCAAAGAAACACAGAAAAGCATTTTAACGATTGCGTGCGGTTATTGTATAACATACAGATGCAACAACAGACACATCGAATCGGAATCTTTATTAATAATTGAGCAATGTAATGAGCTATGAAGCCCTTTTACACAGATGTCCATACACCACCTATGACCAACTGACCAGAATGCACCCAATCATCTCAGATCTTGGAAGAAAAGCATGGCTGAACTTCCATAGTGCTTGGATGGACGACCACCATCCATACAACCCAAGATAACACCTCTAAAAGCCCACATATATGAATTAACCCAAAAGCTGCATTAAAATATAAGATTAAGATCGCTTTCCAACCAAACACGGGGAGTGAGATGCACGTAGCAGAGGGGAGCAGATGGTCTAGTAGTAGTAGGTACTTCTACTAGAGGTGGGATGGTGGATCGTAACGTGGTACAGTCCCTAAACAGAGGATGCTCCGTAACCCAGTACGCATCCATACTGTACAACCATTAGTATGAAAAAGAAGTGGATACAGGCAGTCATCAACTTACGAACACCTGACTTCGGAATACCCGACCGACGAACCTGTTTCCATGAAATTTTCGGTTACCATTGACTTAAAACGCAAACTCGCACTTGCAAACTGAACTGTGGAACTATTTTGTTCAGTGCAGCGATCCTCCACGAGATGCCATGAGTCAGCCTCGTGCTGGGAGTGAATGTGGGTGTGCACACGCACATGTGTGTGTATGTGAATGTGAGTGTGTGGGGAGCGGCACTGTAGCAGTTTGCGCGCTACACTACGAACCCAGTTCAATTCTCACTCATGGCCAACACCAGTGACAATTTTCTGAATCGTTCCTGGGCCTCCCCTAGGTCGATTCAGCCTCAAATGAGCACCTAGCGCGGTGTGTAAACATCACCACTTGGGATACACAGGCAAATGGGTGTGGTGCTGGTCACACATCCCCTCGCATGCCATGCCGGCCTTCATGGTGCTCGCTAACAGCACTTGTCCCAACAGTCTATTAAGGCTATACGGGGGATCTTTGTGACGCCGAATGCTGTGCGCTCACCTTCGCCTCGCTCTGCTGGTACAGCACTTGCAGATCCTGCAGCTGTGCGTGCAAGCTCTGCAGGTTTTCGTGGGATGGTCCCAGCGCAGCATGCAGCTCTGCCACCATGCGCTGGTAGCCCAGAATCCCCGCCTGCAGGGATCCCAGCTGCTTGTTGTTCTCGATGAGCTGTGTGGGCCACGGGCATAAAGCAGCAGAGGAATATGGCAAAGCGTTTTAATGACTGCGTGCAGTTACGATAGAACATTCAGATATAACAAAGACATACAGAACCAGTATCTTTATTTTAAATATATGAATCTGAACAGCTATGAAACTCTTTCACATATGTCGATACACCATACCACCCATGACCAAATGACCCAGAATACACCCAATATTATATCTTAGAAAAAAAGCACGGTTGAACTTTGATAGTGCTTCGATGGGCGACCACCATCCATACAACCCAAAATAACACCTATAAAAGCCCATATATATGAATCAATTAACCCAATAGGTGCATTAAAAGGTAAAATTAAGGGATGGGATCGAGATGCACGTAGCCACAGGGAGATGGTCTAGTAGTAGTAGGTACTTCTACTAGAGGTGGGATGATGGATCGTAATGTGGTACAGTCCCTAAACAGAGGATGTTCAGTAACCTAGCGCGCATCTATACATCAGTGTGAAAAATAAGTGGATGTAGGCAGTCCTCAGCTTACGAACACCGGACTTACGAACATCCACATTTAAGAACCTGCTTCCATGAAATATATATATCTTTTTTAACATTGACTTTAAACGCGAGCTCACACTTGAAAATTTAACCGCGGAGCTATTTTGTTCAGTGTAGCGATCCCCCGCGAAATGTAATGACTCAAGCTCGTGCTGGGAGTGAGGCTTTGTGTGTGTGTGTGTGCGCGGGCGCACGTGTGTGTGTATGAAAGTGAATGTGTGGAGAGCGCCTTGAGCTCCTCCCTCAGCTGCATAAATACTGCCTCGTCTTTCTGAGCCTTATTACAGACAACGATCATTTTACCATCGTCATCATTAGCATCGTCATCATGAGCAGCCATGATCCGTCCACCTCTGAATGATTGTACTTTTTGTGATACTGCTGGATGAAGGTTTCCCTGAGCCATACCGGTCATAGGAATTGATTGATCATACTTCATCACACTGGTCAGCAAGAGGTGGTACACTCAAGACTGGTTCAGATATCACTGGCCATCGATGCTACCCATGGCTGGAAATCAAACTCCAACGGCTTGGTTCAAAGTGCAGAAGACGAATCACACTAAATTACTTTTTTGTATATAATCACAAATATTTAGTTTTCTTTCTACCTGTTTGTATATAACTTCCATTGGTTTCAAATGCCGTATGTTCTCCCTGTTGTAATCTGTTACATCGTGTGGTCTGTTTTAGTTACTTAACTCCCTGTATTGCATTGTTTGTGCATTACTTTGTTCATGATAAAACTTAATTTCTGCATTGTGTACTATTATTTCGACTGCACAATGACCATTCTGGTCTCGGTTACTCCTTTCATGTTCCATGATCACATTGTTTTTGATCAAGGCACCGATTTAATAATCGCGGGGGGGGGGGGGGCGACAAATGTATCCCCGGCCAAATTGTCATTGGCACATTTTATATTTGGCGATTCAAGCACGACAACCGCACAAGGGCCTTGCCCTCTTGTGAACGCTACCACAGATGTCTTCAAACTAAAACTGTCATTATCCTTATTTTACCACAGAGCTATATAACTCTATTTCAGAAGCGACCTGTCACAAATGAAAGTTCAAAGAAGTGGCTAATCATGTGGAAATCTTTTGCAGCCAAATAATCTAAACACGTTTCTGAATGTGGAGGGAAAAACCGGAGGACCCAAAGAAAATCCACACGACCACGGGGAGAACATGCAAACTCCAAATATACAGGTGTCAGGCGAGGTAGTTAACATCTAACATCTCATCTTCTTGGTTCTTTCGGTAAAGTCACGTAGAAGGGAAGTAATAAAATAATAAAAATAAAACATAATAAAACAATTCTCACGACGTTTCGGCCACAACGCAAGCAGCCGTCCTCAGGTGAAAACCAGGTCCGTCGAGGCGACAGAGTCTGAATGAAACAGCACACGAGCTTGGAGCATATATATAAGCTGGGCGCATTGACAAATGAATTTGCATATCAAAAGAAATTTAGCATATTTATGGGAAATGCAGGAATGTGATTAGTACTGCATATGCATGTGCATTATGCAGGATTAACAGCATCAAAGGGAGCTGCAGTTACTGCTGCTGCTGCAGTTGCTGCTGCTGCAGTTTCTGCTGCTGCTGCAGTTGCTGCTGCTGCTGCAGTTGCTGCTGCTGCTGTTACTGCTGCTGCTGCACTTGCTGCTGCTGCTGCTGCTGCAGTTGCTGCCTTATCCATTTTAATATAACACTATGTATTATTCTACCCACCCTAATGTGTATCACACTGCTATATGTTTACTATACAATTACGACACCATACATTACTCTGCACACTGCACCATGCCAGTGAGTGGAACGCGGTCTGAAAGTCACCGTAAACGTGAACACAATCAGTTAAGATCCGAAATGGTTTATTACGTCCTTCCAATGATTGCTAAGGACGTAATAAACCATTTCGGATCTTAACTGATTGTGTTCACGTTTACGGTGACTTTCAGACCGCGTTCCACTCACTGGCATGGTGCAGTGTGCAGAGTAATGTATGGTGTCGTAATTGTATAGTAAACATATAGCAGTGTGATACACATTAGGGTGGGTAGAATAATACATAGTGTTATATTAAAATGGATAAGGCAGCAACTGCAGCAGCAGCAGCAAGTGCAGCAGCAGCAGTAACAGCAGCAGCAACTGCAGCAGCAGCAACAACTGCAGCAGCAGCAGAAACTGCAGCAGCAGCAACTGCAGCAGCAGCAGTAACTGCAGCTCCTTTTGATGCTGTTAATCCTGCATAATGCACATGCATATGCAGTACTAATCACATTCCTGCATTTCCCATAAATATGCTAAATTCCTTTTGATATGCAAATTCCTTTGTCAATGCGCCCAGCTTATATATATGTTCCAAGCTCGTGTGCTGTTTCATTCAGACTCTGTCGCCTCGACGGACCTGGTTTTCACCTGAGGACGGCTGCTTGCGTTGTGGCCGAAACGTCGTGAGAATTGTTTTATTATGTTTTATTTTTATTATTTTATTACTTCCCTTCTACGTGACTTTACCGAAAGAACCAAGAAGATGAATCCCTGCAGTCACGAAAGCTTTAAATCGAAATCTAACATCTCGCCACCATGGCGCCCCTCTTCAGTGCCAATCATGGCTTCGTCACGCGTGCCCTTGCGAGAGGGGGTAAATTAGTTACAGGCCTAGTCAGGGCTTGTCTTGTTTAGTCAAATGTAATTACCTCATCCAACATTCACCTATCTGCAGGCAAAATTAAAAGGCATGATGGGGGAACCGATCCTGTGGTCACAATTATACATTTTGCCATATAGAAATGCATTATCATACTACATTAAAAAAAATAATAATGGCTGATTGCCTTCCTGGCTGCATCTACGTTACTTCATAACCCCTTCAGGTTTCAGCCACCTGTGATTAAGCCAGGTACATATGTGCAATAAGTTAATCAACTTAGCCTGGTCATCAATGACTGCACAGAAAAGCTCAGGAAAACAATGTTGGCTTTGCACTAAATCGAGCTAAATTCCAACTCTGAAAACCAAAGATATGACTGTTTTGTGATGAACATTACTCATTACCCTCCATAGCATAGCATGTATCAAAGTACTTCCTCCTATTGTGTGAACCAGAGGGCACTTAAAGATTTCTCAGAAGTAGTTCTGTGATATATGCTTCTGTGGACCATTCTCTAACCTGCGATGGTGCACTGCTCAGCGGATGAGGACAGACCCCACGTGCACCCAAATAGAGGTGTGGGGCTGCAGCTTAAGCCTCTAGTTACCTGGTGCTGCAGCCCGTCAATCTGGCCGCGCATGAAATTCATCTCCGCATCCGTGTGATGAACTGTGTACTGCAGCCGCACCACTTCCTGTGCCGTCGCAGCCTCCTCTGCCCTGGAGACTCCTAGCTCAGCCTTGATGAACTCCATCTTGCCCCTGTACAACACCACAAGGAGGCAGCACGGCGTCAAGCACGGGCACGCCCACGCTCGCTAACTCGCTCGCTCACTCGCACTGAGAATCCAACACAGAACCGTGGAAGATCTCACACTGCACTGTCCTATATATCTGATCTAATTGTATATTTATGAAGCGAATTCACTCAAAGCGTTTGACATAGTAAAAAAAGTGACAGAATTTAATAATTTAGATGGCAGGGGCATACAAGGGTTAAAGAATGAGAGACCGTGACATAGGGTACTTCAGGATCACGAATGGGTAGGGGAGGTAAAGGAAACAGCGGGGCAAGGGGAGTGAAGAGGAACAGAATGGGCATTCGAGAAGCGGTAAGCTGAAGGCCGCGGTGCGTATGTGCAGATCACGAAATGTCAGTAAAATCAATTCCATGGGCATGGTGCGACTCGCGCGACAAGCAGAGCAGCCTGGGAACGTTTTTCAAACGTGGATTGTATTACAAATTGTTCCTTGATTTTCTACTTTCCCGTGTATCCATCACTCAACCTCAGTCACCCTGTGTTCTGCTTTTCGGAAGAACACGCTCGCACATGCGTGATCTGAACACCTTGGACGTTGCACGTATTTGTCCTCGTGCCATGAGTCCTTGACGTGACTCTACCGCCATCCCACCACCGCTCACCTCTGCCACCTCGCTACGGACTGCCATCCCATCACTCCCACACCCGCTGAGCACCCTCCTAATCACGCCCCCCATACCCCCAATCTCACCGTCGCTCCCACCGGTGCCTGCGCTACGCACCTGGTGTTGTCGAGCTCTTCCTGGGCACGGCACTTCTCATTCTGCAGCATCCGCTCGCACTCCACCTTGTGCTCGCCTAGCCGCGCCTGCAACGCCACCAGTTCTGCCTGAGACAGCTCTGCAAGCTGATGCTGTTGCTCCAGAGAATTGGCTGTCGAAAGGGACACAAAACCACGGCGATGAAGACAGCGGCAGCAGGTGGAGAAAGAGCAGCAAGCATCAGGAGGAAGAGTAACAGCAGCGGGAGTAGTAGCAGAGACTCAGGGCTAAGAGGAATTAGGTACCTCAGACCTATTCACCAGCTTTCATTCAAACAGGGTCCAAAATAACAATACATGCACAGGAAGGACTTAGCGAGAGAGCATTTAGTAAACCCAGTGCAGTCCTACCATGTTAGACAGTGGAAGTGGTCCACATGTGAAATGTTTCTAGTACTTAGACTCATTTAAACTCGTAAAAATAAGTTATTGGTGCATAGTGGTCTACAAAAATGAGTGTTCAATGGGTCCGTGGATTTAGAAAGATTGGGAGCACAGGCCCCTACCCACCAGTCTCCTCGAAGCAAGTGTTGGTCTCCTGCAGCCGTTGCTGCAACTCCAGCGCTTCATGCCGCAGGGTGTCCACCTCAGTTTGCTGCGCCTCTTGGTTGGCATAGAGGTCACGCACGGTCGCACTCAGCTCCGCGGCCTCAGCGCCCAGCCGCTCGGCTTCAGTGCCACGCTCTTGTGCCACTTCCTGTGCCACCACCAGGTCGGCCTCAGAGCGCTGCAGCAGCTCGTCACGCTCCTTCAGCTCCTGCGGGAGGAGAATGGGCAGTATCTAAATTACAGGTACTAGGTGGATTGTTATCATTGTGTAGTGTTGTAAAGGACGGACTTGTAAACTTCTTTTTGGCACACACTGTTTATTATCTTAATACACAGTCCCTATCACACAAAGGGGGTATATGGTCCCCTCACCCATTACCCTGAGTAGACACAGCCTCCGGACCTTGCAGGCTATCTAATCTCCCTGCTATCCTAGCGTCCTCTGGCTGGACCTAGGGGATCTCTCCCCAACCACTGGTTACACTGAGCCCTAGCCCTGATAAGGGCTGGAGGGCTTGGTCCAGGGTCCTAGATGTCTTCGGCCAAGAGCTCTCAGCGCTCTGGCTTTTCTACCTGTTCGTGGCCTGGTTGTCCAATCCCCGGCCACCTTGTAGGACCCTTCGATTGGTCCTTCCCAATCTGGCGTTTGGATCCTACCTCACCCCCTTTGACCCTGACCGTTTGATTGAGCGGGATAACCTTGTTTACGATCCGCTCTCTCACAGTTTGCGAACAGCGAGTAGTTAACACCACTACAATTGCAAGATCGTGAGAGGTTGTGGTGGTGGCTTAAGGGAGGCTTACATCCAGCAATGGATGAACCTTGGCCAATTATGAAAAGAGCTCCAAGGGATTATGTGGCTTATGAAGTATTTTCCAGGACACCAATCAATGGCCCCGAATGACAAGGGAGCTAGAGTGTGGGTAGGGGGGGGGCTGCTGCGAGAGTGGAGGCCTCACCTTCTGCAGGACCGCGATGTGCACGACGTGAGAGTCGTACTCTGAGTCGGCGTGCGTGTGCGATGCACGATATTCGGCCAGCTCCATGCGTGCCAGATTCAGAGTCTCCTCGTGGTCCTGTCTCAGCTGCTCCTGAAACCGCTCAGTCCTAATCGTGAACTCTGCCAGCTCCGATGACGCGGCGTTGGCGTCGTGCACGGAACGCTCCTCGGCCTCCCGCTCACCCCGCCGTGCTGCCTCCAACTCCGCCTGCAGGCTGTCGATGGCCTGCGAGTGCACCCGTAGCTGCTCACGGACAGATGGGCACAGTGGCACAGGCACGTGTATGCATAGGTGGGCAGCCCCTCATCACAGACACGTGCAGCGTGCAGATGAGGACAGGTAGAGACATACTGACACACGCAGTATGTAGTTGTACAGAGAAATAGAGACAGAGACATGGGCAGGAGGCACACGAAAAGAAATATAGAAATGACAAACATGCAGAGACATATACACACAAAGACACAAGCAAGGCACATGTAGAAATTTGGACACATGTACGGAAAGTCACAGTGCATATGGAGAGACATGTACATAGCCACAGGCACAACATGTACAGGGAGACAACGTAAGCATGCAGAGACACGGGGATCGAGTACAGAGACGCACATGTGCCCATAAAGGTGGCACACACCCATGGTCGTCATCAACATACCACAATCACGTTTAAAGAGAATATAAAATATTTCAAATAATAAAAGAAATTCCAAAAATATAACCATGATATATCAACCATTTGTAAGCATGCATATAACATGGATACACTCTTCATCGTAAGATTATGAAGAAATTCCAAGCACCCAAATTATCGTCTTCAAATGGAGTCAATATTCAGGACAACTCACAATGCCATGTCGGTCATGGGGATGTGTTTTACTATACTTCCCCATGCTGGTCAGCCCCATACAGGTGTATTAATCAGTAAAACATACTTCATGCTCATTCTGTGGGGAGATGCTATGATACAAAAATTGTGTTTGATCTGCTTTTTTTCTTTTTCATTTTCAACAGTATTAGGAGTCAAATTTAGCCAAATTAAGTACAGAACCAAAATATTATTCGTTGGGTTTTTTTGTGCACTCATTGGCGACCAGGCTGAGACCACCAACTCATTACGCTTGGGAACCCGGTTAAATCACTGGTTGGGCGGCTGTAATCTGGATTTGATCCTGGCATCTCAGCAGTGCTGGCACAGCCACCTCCCAGAATGCACTTATTTAATGGTCCATTTCCTTGACATTCAGATCGCACTCTGAATAAAAACTCAACACATTAATCAAAAACGATGTACTCAATAGGGCAGAACATCTAAAAGGCGACGTTTCAGGCAATGGTCCTTCTTTACAGCAATATCCATTGCAGTCTTATTGACGAATATGTTGAGGTTTTGTTATCCATGCTTGTGCGCCACGGAGCTTCACAACGAGAACACGTTTAATTTTAGCCGCGCTCCGTGCAACAAGGGGACGGGGAGGGGGGTTTGGCGGCAGCCAGGATACCTCCTCAGATCGCTGGATCTCTAGTTGGTGCAGCATCTCGTGGAGGCTCTTATCCTTCTGGCTCAGGGCGCCACGCAGGGTGTTAAAGTGCGCTCGTGCCCTGCCCAGGTTGGCCCGCAGGTTCGACACCTCCTGAGACAGCTGGTGCATATCGTTCTCCGGCATTGGCAACTGCGACGGGAGCAAGGGCACATGGCATGGGCACGTTAGCTCCTCCCAGTGTAAATCCTGCCTTAATTCGCATCGTGACGGACGCCATTTGACACGGATGGTGGAGACAACACCATTGCACATGGCAAGTGAAGTGCCTCATACGCAGGTAGACACACATCGGACAGATACGCTGACACCCACACACCCACGCAAGACAACACGATTCCTCACAGCCTAAACACCGTGGTAGAACACGCAGCAGCGTTGGTCTCAGAAACTCACCCACCGCCATCTCTGTTTACATTCGCTCAGCCAATGAGAGTGACGAACGCTCTGGGGCAACCAGCAACCAACCCCCGCGATTCAATTATGACGATGTATGGTCACAGGTACATAAAAAAAAAGTTTTGATAATTTTGTCAGTGTTGTTACAATATTTTTTATTCAGTTTTATCACATTACGCTCTGAGCCACCGCAGCGCTCGCCAGTTTTTAAAAGACACCCTGGTCCGCCGACGTGTTTGCTATTCCTTGGTCTCTCTTTGCCTTGTTTTCATATTTTTAGTGAGCATCTTAGCCCCAAAATGTCTGGAAAGAGGCCTGCAAATGTGTTAGTGCTGGAAATGAGACCAACAGGTCAAGGAAAAGTATCACTTAGAATGGTAACATGCAAGTGATAAGGCCGGTCGAGGTGGGTGAGCATCAGGCGAGTACATTACATAATACTTATTGATAATAAATATGTATTTGTTTTGATACAATGTTTACCATGTTTTATTACTGTAATTAAATTGCCCTGATACTGACACCCCAATGAAGCCCTCATTTATTGTTCATAAGAGACAACACTGTCGGGAAGGCATCCCCATATGTACAATGGTATAATAACCCTTCAAGCGCTGATTCGATGAATGCCTTTATTATGATGAATGCTCACTTCTCCACCTACGCATCTTGAGCGCTAAGTGAGGACTGCCTGTATTAATTCCATACAGGTTTCCAGCGGTGGCCTCCACTCCAGCCTAGCTTTGTCTCCCCTCTCTTGCCAAGTACAACTCTACCATCAAAACATTCTGTGAAATGAATACGTGATTGTTATAATTGTACTCTCCATTTTGCTTCGTTCTACTGCACAGTTTAAAGTATTTTTGTTTTAATTACTTTTAAAATTTTATAATCATAAGAGAATTTCAATATAATATTCTGAACATCTGCAGTTTTAGTTGGACGTTAAATATTTTAAAGTGAATTTTATGCTAAATTTCAGCTTTCCAACCCCTCCTTTTTAATACGTATTTTCTCCTACAACATCAGAGTGTAGCGCCACATTAAATGCGCACTACAATGACAATAGTTTAAAGTGATTTGAAGCATGTTTTATTTTCAAAATGGAAATATGGTTTGGGGGGGGGGGCAGAGCTGTGACGTCATATTTGAGGGGGTCTGACTTTTGGTGACGCCGTGTGACGAGGGGGGGGGGGTTAAAAATCGCCCAAATTTGCGTGACGTCATTTATGGACGGCCCCTAAGTCAAGATTAGTAATGTAATTACCAGCGAAACGTCGTACTCAAATTCTAAATGTTGTGGATTCACTTCAAACACACCCGTGGGCTGAAGAAGTAACTAATTGGCGTTTTGTTAACGTGACACATTTTTTACTGATTGGCCGTGTCGGGTGGTGGAGGGTTGCGACGCATTTATAATAACGCGATCTCACCCAAAACCCGATATGAATGACGTAACAGACATTACAGTGGTGACGTCATTGGCTCCACCCTATGTGGGCGGAGCCAACCCTATATGGGCGGAGCCTACGGCTCGTCCTTATCGCGTCACCAAATGCCACGTGACCCCCAGGCACAGCTGCTGGACAACGGCAGTTGGTCCGAGATGCTGTCACCATGGCAACGCAAACAAGGACCACCTTGCCCAGAGAAAGCTCCTTCCGACTAAAATCCTTGATGAAACTCTCAATCTGTGATATTCAACTATGAACCTCCCTACCTACATATCAAGCGTTCAATTTTAAAGTTTAACTTAAATAACGGAAAAAAAATCGATATTTTTTTCTCTCGATATGATCACGGTATTTATTTCGTATAACTCCGATCGATACCGCTGAAAGGCAAGAGGTGGCGCCACTCACCTCCACTGTTGACGAATTCGGAGTCTCCAGCGTCGCTTGCAACTGCTGCGCTCTCTTGAAGAACCTCATAGTTCCTGTTGGGGGCGCAAGAGATAGAAGCAGCCGCTCAGCTCGCTCGCCCTGTCGGAGTGACGTCAAAGCCGGAGGTGACGTCATTGGCCCCGCCTACTGTGGGCGGAGCCAGAGCCCGTGAACCCCGCCCCCTCAGACACCCAATGGGGGCAGAGGAAGCTCCCTGCGACTTGAGACTCGGAGCCTCCTCGCCACGTGTCGAGAGGTCAATGTCGCAGTGAAATTCACTCACGAGGCGACTGTCTCTGGTCTTGGTGTGCTCCTTTGACTGTCGGTGTTTTGCCGTCTTGCCCAAGCTTGGATATGATGTTGACAAATCTACAGGAAGGTTTGTGCTGCACAGTTTGTTTTTGCACTACATATTTATTTGTGACTTGATGACATTTTCGCAATCCTTACTCAAGTATCCTTTCATCTTCTTGGTTCTTTCGGTAAAGTCACGTGGAAGGGAGATAATAAAATAATAAAACATAATAAAATAATACAATTCTCACAGTGAGAATGTGTGATAAATAAAACATAATAAAATAATACAATTCTCACAGTGAGAATTGTATTATTTTATTATCTCCCTTCTACGTGACTTTACCGAAAGAACCAAGAAGATGAATCCCTGCAGTCACGAAAGCTTTAAATCGAAATTCAAGTATCCTTTGTTACATTTTGTTGTTGATGCAACCGGCTGACCCGTCCCTTCTGGGCGTGTGTGAAAGAGGACGTCAAGCTCATGAGATCCCTCCGGGATAAACACGCGCACGCGTGTAGGTAGATGTAGCAGACACGAATAATTTACTAAAATTCCGAATGTATTAAGTACTTTGTTCAATGTTTCGTCACAAATCAAACATCGAGAATAAGCAACAAATATGCAACACTCCTGAGACGGGCACCTCCCTTACTGACCTCACCTCGTCCTCACCCCTCTGCTCGTTATCTTCACTCCTCACCTCATCCTCCTATCCTGTAAGTAGCAGACACGTACAATCTGTTTTTTACCTATATAAATGTAATTTTGTGTCTCTGCCTGTCTGTGAGTGTTCACGCGCTTGCGAGGGATTTGGCTCTCAAACGGTGGGGTTCGCGTAAACAAAAATTAGCCAGGTACCACGCCGGAAGCCCCGTGCTTGGCATAGGCGATTCCCTTTTCACGCCCGTCACCTTAAAATTAGTTCAGTTAGCGTCTTTTGCCGATTTTTCTTTATTTAAAGATAAAGTTTCGCGATTGTTTATTTATTTCCCTTCGCCGCGCGCGGGCTGACAACGCAGCCAGCTGCACTTGCGCACAACGCGCCCGAGGTGACCCCCCAGCAGCAATCCGCACGCGCCGTCGCCAAAGGTCAGGCGCACACTTTTGTATTATGTGCATTTACTAGCAGAAGTACCCGGCGTTGCCCGGGTGAAAAATATATTTCTTAATAACCTTACATATACACACAGATACTAAGGTATTGTCAAAGCCCGGTGGGCTTTGACAATACCTTTCACCACTCACAACTCACCCTCACCATTCACCCTCACAACTCACCAATCTCCCTCACCAATCTCCCTCACCACTCACCCTCACCACTCACCGTCACTACTCACCAATCACCAATCACCCTCACCACTCACCGTCACAACTCACCGTAACTACTCACCAATCACCCTCACCACTCACCCTCACCACTCACCGTAACTACTCACCAATCACCAAACACCCTCACCACTATCCCTCACCACTCACCACTCACTATCACCATTCACCCTGACCATTCAGCCTCATCACTCACCCTCACCACTCACCGTCACCACTCGCCACTCACCCTCACCACTCACGCTCACCACTCACCCCTCACCATCAGCACTCACCCTCACCACTCTCCCTCACCACTCACTCTCACCATTCACCCTCGCCACTCACCCTCGCCACTCACCGTCACAACCACGACTCACCCTCACCACTCACCCTCACCACTCAACCTCACCCTCACTACTCACCATTCATCCTGACCAGTCACCACTGACCAATCACCACCCACCACTCTCCACTAACCCTCACCACTCAACCTCACCACTCACCCTCACCACTCGCCCTCAAAACTAACCACTCTCTCACCACTCACCCTCACCACTCAGCACTCACCCTCACCACTCACTCTCACCACTCACGCTCACCACTCACCCCTCACCGCTCACCACTCACCCATCACCACTCACAACTGCCACTCACCCTCACCACTCACCCTCACCACTCACGCTCACCACTCACCGCTCACCACTCACCCATCACCACTCACAACTGCCACTCACCCTCACCACTCACCCTCACCACTCACCCTCACAACAACCACTCACCCTCACTGCTCACCACTCACCTTCAGCACTCACCCTCACCACTCACCCTGACCACTCACCCTCACCACTAACCCTCACCACTCACCCTTACCACTCAACCTCACCACTAACCCTCACCATCACCACTCACCCTTACTACTCACCACTCAACCTCACCACTCTTTGTCACCACTCAGCCTCACCACTCACCCCTCACCCCTCACCATCACCACTCACCCTCACCACTCTCCCTCACCACTCACTCTCACCATTCACCCTCACCATTCAGCCTCACCACTCACCCTCACCACTTACCCTCACCACTCAACCTCACCCTCACTACTCACCATTCATCCTGACCAATCACCACCCACACTCTCCACTAACCCTCACCACTCAACCTCACCACTCACCCTCACCCTCAAAACTAACCACTCTCACACCACTCACCCTCACCACTCAGCAGTCACCCTCACCACTCACCCTCACCACTCACGCTCACCACTCACCCCTCACCGCTCGCCACTCACCCATCACCACTCACAACTGCCACTCACCCTCACCACTCACCCTCACCACTCACGCTCACCACTCACCTCACCCCTCACCGCTCACCACTCACCCATCACCGCTCACAACTGCCCCTCACCCTCACAACAACCACTCACCCTCGCCGCTCACCACTCACCCTCAGCACTCACCCTGACCACTCAACCTCACCACTAACCCTCACCATCACCACTCACCCTTACTACTCACCACTCAACCTCACCACTCTTCGTCACCACTCACCCTCACCACTCACCCCTCACCATCACCACTCACCCTCACCACTCTCCCTCACCACTCACTCTCACCATTCACCACTCACCGTCACAACCACGACTCACCCTCACCACTCACCCTTACTACTCACCACTCAACCTCACCACTCTTCGTCACCACTCACCCTCACCACTCACCCCTCACCATCACCACTCACCCTCACCACTCAACCTCACCCTCACTACTCACCATTCATCCTGACCAATCACCACTGACCAATCACCACCCACCACTCTCCACTAACCCTCACCACTCAACCTCACCACTCACCCTCACCACTCACCCTCAAAACTAACCACTCTCTCACCACTCACCCTCACCACTCAGCACTCACCCTCACCACTCACGCTCACCACTCAGCCATCACCACTCACAACTGCCACTCACCCTCACCACTCACCCTCACCACTCACGCTCACCACTCACCCCTCACCGCTCACCACTCACCCATCACTGCTCGCAACTGCCACTCACCGTCACCACTCACCCTCACAACAACCACTCACCCTCACCGCTCACCACTCACCCTCAGCACTCACCCTCACCAGTCACCCTGTCCACTCACCCTCACCACTAACCCTCACCACTCACCCTTACCACTCAACCTCACCACTAACCCTCACCATCACCACTCACCCTTACTACTCACCACTCAACCTCACCACTCTTCGTCACCACTCACCCCTCACCTTCACCACTCACCCTCACCACTCTCCCTCACCACTCACCACTCACTCTGACCATTCACCCTCACCATTCAGCCTCACCACTCACCGTCACCACTCACCGTCACAACCACGACTCACCCTCACCACTCACCACTCAACCTCACCCTCACTCCTCACCATTCATCCTGACCAATCACCACTGACCAATCACCACCCACCACTCTCCACTAACCCTCACCACTCAACCTCACCACTCACCCTCACCACTCATCCTCAAAACTAACCACTCTCTCACCACTCACCCTCACCACTCAGCACTCACCCTCACCACTCGCGCTCACCACTCACCACTCACCGCTCACCACTCACCCATCACCACTCACAACTGCCACTCACCCTCACCACTCACCCTCACCGCTCACCACTCACCCTCAGCACTCACCCTCACCACTCACCCTGACCACTCACCCTCACCACTAACCCTCACCACTAACCCTCACCACTCACCCTTACCACTCAACCTCACCACTAACCCTCACCATCACCACTTACCCTTACTACTCACCACTCAACCTCACCACTCTTCGTCACCACTCACCCTCACCACTCACCCCTCACCATCACCACTCACCCTCACCACTCTCCCTCACCACTCACTCTCACCATTCACCCTCACCATTCAGCCTCACCACTCACCCTCACCACTCACCCTCACCACTCACCGTCACAATCACGACTCACCCTCACCACTCACTCTCACCACTCAACCTCACCCTCACTACTCACCATACATCCTGACCAATCACCACTGACCAATCACCACCCACCACTCTCCACTAACCCCCACCACTCAACCTCACCACTCACCCTCACCACTCACCCTCAAAACTAACCACTCTCTCACCACTCACCCTCACCACTCAGCACTCACCCTCACCACTCACCCTCACCACTCACGCTCACCACTCACCGCTCACCCTCACCGCTCACCAATCACCCTCACCACTCACCCTGACCACTCACCACTCATCCTCACCAATCACACCCTCACCACTCACTCTCACCATTCACCCTCACCATTCAGCCTCACCACTCACCCTCAACACTCACCCTCACCACTCACCGTCACAACCACGACTCACCCTCACCACTCAACCTCACCCTCACTACTCACCATTCATCCTGACCAATCAGCACTGACCAATCACCACCCACCACTCTCCACTAACCCTCACCACTCAACCTCACCACTCAACCTCACCACTCACCTTCACCACTCACCCTCAAAACTAACCACTCTCTCACCACTCACCGTCACCACTCACCCTCACCACGCACCCTCACCACTCACCCTCACCACTCACCCTGACCACTCACCCTCACCACTAACCCTCACCACTCACCCTTACCACTCAACCTCACCACTAACCCTCACCATCACCACTCACCCTTACTACTCACCACTCAACCTCACCACTCTTTGTCACCACTCAGCCTCACCACTCACCTCTCACCATCACCA